TCTCTCTCTCTCTCTCTCTCTCTCTCTCTCTCTCTCTCTCTCTCTCTCTCTCTCTCTCTCTCTCTCTCTCTCTCTCTCTCTCTCTCTCTCTCTCTCTCTCTCTCTCTCTCTCTCTCTCTCTCTCTCTCTCTCTCTCTCTCTCTCTCTCTCTCTCTCTCTCTCTCTCTCTCTCTCTCTCTCTCTCTCTCTCTCTCTCTCTCTCTCTCTCTCTCTCTCTCGCGTCTCCCTCTCGCGTCCCGCGTATTTCCTCTAGCGTATGGCCTCTCGCTCCTCGTCTCCCGTTTCGTTTGGTCGAGCAGCAGCGGTTGACCTTCCTAAATCATCCCACCCACACTGCTCGCGCTTCCAAGCTTCGACCTCTTACTGTTCTAACATGCGTCGTTTCGGCACCTCGCCAACGGACGGCCTGACTCCCGTAGCCTGTTTGCGTCGGTGCAGGAGAAGCGGAGAAGATCGCCTGAATGCAGCGCGCTATGAGCTTTCCTGGATGAGCCGAGATTAGACAGCAGCCTCTCCATCAACCTCAAGTGAAAGCCTTCCATCGCACTCCATGGCTACGCCGAACATGGCCCGTCATCCGCTCTCCTCGATCATGGATGATAATGCGCTGCATGCGGAGCGGAGCAACTGTTTGCTGCGGCCAGAATCTAGACCGACTGGCTAGAAAGCTTTCATCGTGTTCATGGGTGAAATTTCTAGGCGACAAAAGTCTGGAAACCAAGTCGGGGCTTGAATGCATACGCGTTTCAGAACGATTCTTGTACGCGGTTACGATATTCGAAATGCACCTGTTTGGGTTTCGCTACACCTGAATGGAAACTAAAAAAGGTGGGGTCTGTAAAGCATGTCAGCCCGTGCCACGTGGTCCACTCTTATCTTTCCTGTTGTCAACCTCCGCCACAAGCTTCGCGCCAACGTGGCCACGAAGAAGGCTCGCTGGCGGGAAGCAACCGCCACTTCCCCTCCCGCGGAATGGAAGTGAGGAGGGGACAACTATCATATCAGGCTAGGAAGTGGGAAACCAAATTCTAGTTTCCCCTCTTGGTGTGAACATCTAGTGGTCTAATTTATTCATAATTTTCTGTTGTCTCCGGAACGGCGGAGTCATTTCTGTCAGAATGCTCGCCGCGGAGCTAGCCGTTGGCCTTGGCTGTGTGGGAACAACTCCCTTCGCTCCATCCTCCTCTCACCACCGACCAAGCACCGCTCCTTCTGCCTCTGATTCCCTTTCCAGCTCGTTTTTTGCAAGCCAACCAAATCTTTGCCTTGGAGCCGCTAAGCCCCATTCGGTTAGGCGATTAAGATTAACAACGCCGGTATACGCCAGACACCTGGAATCTCAGGTAGCCGCTGCAGCAGCTCCTGTAGCGGGGGAAACGGCGGCGGTGACGGGGAATGCAGCGAGGGAGAGTGGTGGTTCAGCAGAGCGGGGATTGACTGTCGTGGATGTAGATTTGGGGGATCGGAGTTACCCGATCTACATTGGCGCGGGAATTCTGGATCGCGGAGATCTATTGTGCAGGTAAGATGATGGACGGTGGGGATTCTATCTGCGCGTATGGTTGATTGAAGTGGACTTGAACCTTTCATTTATTCACCCCAGTGTGCTCGCGAATTGCTGCTGTTATTTTTGTTCCTTTGTGTACCAATGTTCGTGGCATACCGTATCTGCTCTCCTCATCATTCCTTCCTTGTTACTTTCTCGTTCCGTGTTTCCAGGCATGTCAAGGGTCGGCGTTGTACTGGTGGTGACCAATGAAACCATCGCGCCGTTGTTCCTGGAGCGGACTATTGCGGCTCTGACACATGGCAACCCGCAGTTGGAGGTTCGCAGCGTCGTACTGCCCGATGGGGAGCAGTTTAAAGACCTGGTAGGTTGTTCGTGCTGCTTGTTGATTGGTTGTTGCGGATATATCTCTTTGATTTCCGCGTTTTTGTTCCGTACTGTGCCGTTCAGTGCCATGCGGTTTGGGATTCTTCTCTGCTCATCATTTTCTTTGTCTGCAAGCTTTTAATCCGCTTTAAGTCGCTTTCGGCGTGTGTCAGCTGTCGGTTTCCTGCTGCTTTGAAATGTTCCGTGTTTCTTCCGCGCACAGGAAACCCTCAATCTGATCTTCGACCGAGCCCTCGAGACCCGCATGGACCGGCGTTGCACGTTCGTGGCTCTCGGGGGAGGCGTGATCGGCGACATGACTGGCTTCGCCGCTGCCTCGTACCTAAGAGGCGTCAATTTTATCCAGATTCCCACCACCGTCATGTCTCAGGTATGTTCTCTCCTCCTCCGTCCAAAAGGCGCGATCGTCTTTTCCTCCTCGTCTTACTGAATTTCTCCACTCGTCGCGTATCCTTTGTCTGTCGTTCCCCTTCCGTCCCTCCCGTTCTTCCCATGATTCCATTCCCCTTGGACCTTTCCTTACTCTCTCTTGTCGCGGTAGCCCCATCTTCATGCCTCTACTCTCTTGTTTTATCTTCTCTCGTGTGATTATGTCCAGGTGGACTCGTCCGTGGGCGGCAAGACAGGTGTCAACCACCGGTTGGGCAAGAACATGATAGGCGCGTTCTACCAGCCGCAATGCGTGCTCATCGACACCGACACGCTCGCGCCGCTCCCCGACAGGGAGCTCGCGTCGGGCCTGGCGGAGGTGATTAAGTACGGGCTCATCCGCGACGCGGAGTTCTTCGAGTGGCAGGAGGAGAACATGGACCGGCTGCTGGCGAGGTGAGAGAGAGGGAAGAAGCATGTCACGTTTCACTGGGAGGTGGTAGCAGGAAGAGTTCTCTTCGGGACTGGCAGCTCATCCGCGACACGGAGTTCTTCGAATGGCAGGAGTAGAACATGGACCGGCTGCTGGCGAGGTGAGAGAAGAGGGAAACATGTCCCAGGTAGCTTCAGGGGCTCCGCAAGAATGAGGTAGAGGAGAGCCTGGAGCCAAGGTGATTAAATACGGGCTGATACGGGTCGCAGCGTTTTTTGAATGGCAGCAGGAGAACATGGACTGGCTACTAGCGAGGTGAGAGAGGATGGGGCGCCGAGGTTGTTCGACAGGTCACGGGTTGGGTTTCACAAAGTTCGTTTCAGTGAAGGGGGGAATTCTTTCAGGTGAATTTTTTAGGTGAATCTTCTGGACCTTGTAAATGTTTGCTGACCATTGGGGGGGCGAGGATGAAGGGGAAAGGGGGAGGGGATGTTGAGAAAGAAATGGAAGTGTGTGTGTGGACTCCAAATGGGGTGAATGATGATAACTTGTTCAACGAGAACTGTTCTTTTTAGAGCAGTGATGAACAGTTGCATTCCACACACGAGATTGCTGACACCCAAGACGCCGAATGTTTTTTTTTTTTTTTTTCCTAATTTTGACTTCTGTCTCACTGAATGTTGTTCCATCCTTTGTCAAGCTTTAGTTTTACATGCCTTGATTCAGCCATGGGTGCATGATGAAACTCTGTTCTATAAGAGAGCTGCGGAGCATATGCGGGCTAGCAATGAGAAGCTTATTCCACACACGAGATTGCTGACACCCCGACACGCTGAATGCGTATTCCCTAATTTTGGCTTCTGCCCCTCACTGAATGTTGCTCCGTCCTTTGACAAGCTTTAATTTTTGTTACATGCCTTGATTTAGCCATGGGTGCATGATGAAACTCTGTTCTATAAGAGAGCTGCAGAGCATATGCTGGTCAGCAATGAGAAGCTTATTCCACACACGAGATTTCTGACACCCAGATAGACAGCATCGCATATGCCCTCTTTTTCTAGGTCGTAATGTTTTTTCTTATATCCCTGAGATGATTTGCTCTTTCCATCGTTTAAAGCTGACTTACCATTCCCCCCCCCCTTCTTTTTCTAACCGCTGCGGACTTGTGTGATTGCATGGCAGGGACCCGGCAGCACTGGCGTTTGCGATCAAGCGGTCGTGTGAGAACAAGGCGGCGGTTGTGGCAGCAGATGAGAAGGAGGGCGGACTCAGAGCCACGCTCAACCTCGGCCACACTTTCGGCCATGTATGTCATCGATATTCGTCTCATGCTCCAGCAACAGTCCCTGCATTTTGTGCCAGTATGGCAAAGACTTAGCCACTGCATTTTGCATTTGTCCCTTGCATGCAATTCACCTTTTTTTTAATTGACTCAAGAAAGGCTATGGTTTCACTGATAGTTGCCTTGCACCTCACCTTGCTCCGCCTCTCCCCTTGTGCCCCCCTCTCTTCTCCTTCCCTCCCTCACCCATCCCACACCCACCCCCCTTAACCCCACCAGCCCTGTAGGCCATAGAGAACGGGTTGGGGTATGGAGAGTGGCTGCATGGGGAGGCGGTGGCAGCAGGCACGGTGATGGCAGCACACATGTTGCACCGCATGGGGTGGATCGACGCAGCTCTGAGGGCCTGTTCCTCTCCTCTTTTACTCTTCTCTGCTTCCCCTCTAACCCCTACCTTCCCAGGCCATAGAGAACGGATTAGGATATGGAGAGTGGCTGCATGGGGAGGCGGTGGCAGCAGGCACGGTGATGGCAGCACACATGTCGCAGCGCATGGGGTGGATCGACGCGGCTCTGAGGGACCGCATCACTGCCATCATCAAGAAGGCCCGACTGCCCACGCGCCCCCCGTCTGCTGTCACCAAGGAGCAGTTCCGAAGCCTCATGGCGGTATGTGCGTGGGGGGGAGAGGCCTGCAAATTTGTGCTTGTAAGAAGGGTCATTTCTTGCTGAGTGGATACACATTATCTACGTCCCTCCTCCCCCCCCCTCCTCTGTCTGCTGTCACCAAGGAGCAGTTTAGAACCCTCATGGCAGTGCGTGTGTGGGAGGGAGGGGAGGGATTGAATTGGTAGCAGGATGTGAGTGGGAGAGTGCCCATCCTGCCTTCAATGTACCCACACTTACAATCTGTTTACACTGCTGCACACTGGTGTGGTGTTCTTTTTCCCACTCTGACAGGTGGATAAGAAGGTAGCGGACGGCCAGCTGCGTCTTATCCTGCTCAAGGGTTCACTGGGAGACTGTGTTTTTACTGGGGACTTTGACAAAGCTGCGCTTGAAGCCACCCTGGACGAGTTCTGTGAAGTTTGAAATGGTAGAAACTCTTGTAGAGAGCTGGGTTGTAGTTAGATCATTCCCCCCCCCTTGGAAATTGCTGGTCGTGGAATTCCCACACACGAAATTATATTGCAATGACATGTACAGATGGCCTGCTAGCTGCTTTCAATTGAAGTCTATTTTAATTCTTGCTGGTATTTTGGATGATGGCGGTATGTAGCACCAGTTTTGATGTTATATTTCAAAACGCTGCTCCTCAAACAGAGTGCCAATGAATCACCAGAATGCGCTTTCAACGGGACATAGATCGACGAATCGGAGCATGAACCTACGAGTTGAGCATGAATCGGGACCGTATGATGGTGATCAAGTGAACCTCGGGAATTCCGTTCCCTCCTGCCGTGGCCCCTTGCTTCCAGCGCGCGCTGCGCTTTTTGTAGCATTGCCTTTTCTTCCTTGTGTTGCTCCTGCTCGCACTTCTGCTGGTGTTTCTTAGAACGGCGAATGTGGTCTCTAAGGAAAAGTACAAATGCGTTTTTGCTAGAATGCTAGCGGGACAGGAGGACGTGTATGTTCGATAAAAGGCTTGAGCATGCCTCAAGTTCGAACCCAATGACTCCGAACTGATATGAAACACGGACTGCTCCCATCAGCGTAGCTCGTATCGTCCACGGCTTTGCGCCATGGAGGCACCTATGGTGTCTGTTTGCACGTTCTCTCGTCACTTTCACGAAACTGGTCGCCCTGCGCTATTCCCTGACAGCAATCGGCGCTTAACACAAGCCTCGCACACTAATCCCTGCTCTCCTATCATCGCTTTCGCAAGCCCCGCTGTACTAGCTTCCTGCTCATCGAAGACGTGCAATGAGCTTGTCTTGAGACGGATCCGCTCAAAGCCGGATCCTCTCGGACGCGTGCGGCTGCAGATCTTTCCAAAGCCTCTGGCTGCGTATCCAGCGCGGCTGCGTGACGTCACCGTGACGGCACGATCAGACTCTTCAGATTGGAAGAGTTTTGAAAATCAGGTCCGGAAGCAGGAAAACGTACTGCGACCCCTCGCAGCACCAGTGAATGGAACAAAACGTGAACGGAGCACACTGCAAGGGGCGCCAGCTCGCGTCACGGTGACGTCAGGCTCCTCTCGAGATTCACCCCGGGACGGTTCAGGCTCGGAAAGTGATCAAAGCTTTCCACGATTGCCCTTGAATGCGCCGTGGTTACCACCGTGGTTGCCGTTACCTGGACCGTCGCTTTCAGCGCCAGAAGCGGAGCTGATTGTGGCGCTTGCTGGTGCTGTCTCACAGTCGCAGGTGAGCCTATGCGATCCACGCCGGTAATTCTGGGATTTTGGAATCTCACCCCTTACTTGAAATGCAGCATCAGCAGCAACAATTGATCTCCTAATTCCATACTTCTCTAAACCTTCTCATGTTCTGATCTATTTTTGCCTCCTGAATCAGGCAAATCTCCTTGCCAGCGTCAGCAGCAGCATTGGCGATGCAGTGACACGTGTGCAGAAGCTTATCCAACCGTCGCCTCGGGGGCTGCCACCTGGACCTGCTGCTGACTCAGCAGTCAGGCTGGCGTCAGATCCACTCACATTCCTGGATGACGTGGCCAGGGACTATCCAGGCGGCATTGCCACCGTCAGATTGGTGGGAGAGCCCGTACTCGTTATAAGCAACCCGTGCGTGTTATAGAACATGCTTCTTTTTCTACTTGTCCGAGTTTCAAGTATCGTCTGTCGTCCTTAATCACGCATCCTCCCTGTCATCACGTCTCTGGTTAACCATAAGCACGAATCGATCAGGTTTCTTTTCATGCGGCTTTCAATGCCACTCCACTCCACATGCGTGCACCAGGTTCTTTTTCCTACTTTCGTACACACTACCCTCCCTCTTGTTCTCCCTCCCATTTCCCCCCTCTCCCCCCTTTTGCGCTTCCTCCCCTCCTCCCCAAACCGGCAGTGAATTAGCACGGGAGGTGTTGGTCACTCAGTCTGACGTTTTTATCAAGGTGTGTTCGTGTTCGTGTGTTATCCTTGTGAAAAGAAGTGTGCGCGCATGCAAGGCTGCATGAATATCTGTATTTCCATCCCTAACCATCCGTCAGTGTCCCTCACTTCCCTCTTTCGGTCCATCAGAAACTGCTGAGAAACTGCTGAGAGCCCTACGTCAAGCAGTGGGTGCTCTAGCCAATGATACAGTGACGCTTACTGCTCTGTATGCCCTCACTCTCCCCTCCACAGGCCAGCACAGCGTTCTTACACAGCAGCAGCTTAACAGGGGAACGGACTGCTGGCCATTTTTTCTAATCGCTTCGATGAAGGGTTCTTTTCCTGCCCTCCCTGTGCCGCCCTCTGTGCCGCTACGCTCTCCTGCTTCACAGGCCGGCACAGCGTTCTTCCCTGGTAGCAGCTTGACGGGGAACGGGCTGCTGGTGAGCGATGGGGAGGTGTGGAAGAGGCAGCGCCGGCTGTCCAATGCTGCATTCAGAAAGGCCGCCATTCAATCTTATGCCACGGTGGGTTGGGTTCGACGTTTTGTCGACTCGGTAAGAAATATATAGTTTTTTTTAACCATAAACAATGGTAGCAACACTCATATTGGGTACGTGTGAAAAGGGCAATATCAGCTCCTGTTTAAGGGCGGAACGCTTGATTGAAGGGCCACCATTTCATTGACCTTCTTTCATTGTTTCCTCATTCACATTCTTGAGCTTCTTTCATAAATTTCTTGTTCACTTTCTGCTCGCCTTTGCTTATGGTCTCGATTTTCTCTCTTTCCCAGGCCATGGGAGAGCTGGCTGATGACATGGTGGGAGGCACGTGGACAGATATCCGGGTAGGCCGAGGGCTTCAATCTGTATCTTTACTTCGTTTCTTCTTTTTGCGCTCTTCTCTTCTCTGTATCTTCTTTTTTCCCAGGCCATGGCGGAGCTGGCGGATGACATGGTGGGAGGCACGTGGATGGATAGCTTAGTACGACGAGGAGGACGAGGAGGAATAGGAGGAAGAAGTGGTTCAGGGGATTCGGTGGTGCGGGACGTGTATGGGGACTTCAACGAGCTGACGATGAGGATAGTGGTGGCGGCGCTGTTTGGGGGGGGCGGGTTGGGGGGGGCAGCGGTGGAGCAGGTGGGGCCGGCCATCTCCACGGCCTTTGAGTTCTTTGCCAAGCGCGCCACCAGCATGCTCATCAGTTGAGTTCCAAGCGCGCCACCAGCATGCTCATCAGTTGAGTGCTGATCACGCACCCCCAACAACGTCCCACAGCTCTGATCACACCCCCTTCCCTCATCATCTGCAGTCTTTGAGTTCTTTGCCAAACAAGTCATTAGCATGCTCAACAGTTAAGCCGATCCTCCCTTTCTGCCTGCCTGCCTGCCTGCCTGCCTGCCTGCCTGCCTCTCCCTCCCTCCCTCCCTCCCTCCCTCCCTCCCTCCCTCCCTCCCTCCCTCCTTCCCTTCCTCCTCCCCCTTCCCTTCATGCCATCCTTGCGTGTGTCCGTGCAGTCCCTGAGTGGTTCCCTACACCCGACAACCTCCAGTACACGGCAGCAGTGCAGCGCCTGGATGGGGTGGTGTATCGGCTGATCGAGGAGAGGAGGAAGGAGATGGCGGGGTGGGCTGCTACAGGGGCGAATGCACAGGGGGGAGGCGAGGAGGGGAAGGACCTGCTCACTCGACTGCTGCTGGCGAGTCCTCCATTCACCCCTCCCCTGCTGCTGCTGCTGCTTTGGCTGGGTTTTAATCTCCATTTCTAATCATGAGTGCAGGTCGACTCTTTCTCTTGCAATCACCTCTTCTCTCTCCCCTCGCACCAGGCTCGGGATGAGGATGGATCGGGAATGGACAACCAGGCAATCAGAGAGTCATTATTGAGAATTCGTTCTGCTTGTTGCTCACGTGGCTGCCTCTCCCCTCGCACCAGGCTCGGGATGAGGACGGATCGGGAATGGACGACCAAGCACTCAGAGACGAGCTCATGACTCTGCTCGTTGCGGTACGATGCGGTGCACTGCAGTCTGAGTCGACTCAAAAGTCACCTCGTGCGGCCCCATTCTCGTCCATCTCCAATTCCTAAGAAGCATGTTGTGAGGTTCTCAAAACGATGCATGTTGTGAGGTACCCAAAACGATGCATGTTGTGAGGTACCCAAAACGATGCATGTTGTGAGGTACCCAAAACGATGCATGTTGTGAGGTACCCAAAACGATGCATGTTGTGAGGTACCCAAAACGATGCATGTTGTGAGGTACCCAAAACGATGCATGTTGTGAGGTACCCAAACGATGCATGTTGTGAGGTACCCAAAACGATGCATGTTGCGAGGTACCCAAAACGATGCATGTTGTGAGGTACCCAAAACGATGCATGTTGTGAGGTACCCAAAACGATGCATGTTGTGAGGTACCCAAAACTGTTGTGAGGTACCCAAAACTGTTGCGAGGTACCCAAAACTGTTGCGAGGTACCCAAAACTTGTTTCCTGACGCTCGCACTGCCCCGCACTCTTTTCCTTTCCTCTTTTTGTCCTCCCTTGGTCCATCTCCCCATTTCCCCAGGGCCAGGAGACCTCGGCCATCCTGCTGGCGTGGGTGTGTGTGCAGCTGGCGCTGCATCCCGAGGAGCAGAGGCGGGCGGCGGAGGAGGTGCGGGAGGTGCTGGGAGGGCGGATCCCCTCTCACGCTGATGTTCCCAAGCTCAAGTGAGTGGGAGGGGAGGGAAGGTAGAATGATATGGAAGGGGTGGGAGGGAGAGTGCGCTATCCTGCTGCCGTGGGTGTGTCGTGTGTGCAGTGCACGTCGCGATGCATCTTGTATGATGCAGGAGATGCTCCGGCCTCCGGCATGCATCGTGGAGCGCTGTGCGTGCCTTTTGAGTCGACTCAAAAGGAGGTGACTTTTGAGTCGACTCAAAAGGAGGTGACTTTTGAGTCGACTCAAAAGGAGACGCTCCGGCCTCCGGCATGCATCGTGGAGCGCTGTGCGTGCCAAGAGACGCCTCACCACACCACACCACCCCATCTACCCCCCACCCCACCATGGCAGGTACCTGGAGGCAGTGCTACAGGAGACACTCCGTCTGATGCCACCTGCGTACATTGTGGGGCGGTGTGTGTGCCGAGACATGCCTTGAGACGTGTGTGGCTCGTTCCCACCTTACTGCCCTTTTCCCCACCACCTGATAAAAGTGATGTTTTGAGACATCTCAAAACGCCACCTGCGTGCATTGTGGGGCACTGTGTGTGCCGAGAAACGCCTCGGGACGTGTGTAGCTCGTGCCCGCTTTACCGCCCTTTCCCCCACCACCTTCAGCCATGTGTGGCTCGTGCCCGCCTTACCGCCCTTCCCCCCACCATCTCATCCACCCCAACCGTCCCATCTTCCTCACACCATCACAACAGGTACCTGGAGGCGGTGATACAGGAGACGCTGCGGTTGATGCCACCTGCGTACATTGTGGGGCGGTGTGCGTGCCGAGACACCCGTTTGGGGGAGTGGCGTGTGCCTCAAGGCACCACGGTGCTCGTCAGCCCATACCTGCTGCACCGCGACTCACAGCAGTGGCCCAGGTGAGAGGCAAGGAGGTGTGGAATGGTGTGAACCAGTGATGAGCGGTGAGTATGGAGCAAATACAGCGTGAAACATGTTCTTGAAGGGGGGAGGAGGGGGGGGGAGGGGGGAGGGGGGAGGAGGGAGGGGGGGAGTGGCGTGTGCCGCAAGGCACCACGGTGCTCGTCAGCCCGTACCGCGACCCCCAGCAGTGGCCCAGGTGGGATGACGAGAGGATAAAGGCATGGGGTCGTGTGGTGTGGTGTGCACACGTCCACTATGTTGACTGAGAAGGCTGGGGAAGAGATGCGTGCCTCAACGCATTATTGAGAATTCTCAAAAGTGATTCCCAAGGAGATGCGTGCCTCGGTTTTGAGAATTCTCAACGCACCACCATGCTCGTGCATGAAGAAGTGTTTTGAGACGTCTCAAAACACTCAACGCACCACCATGCTCGTGCATGAAGAAGTGTTTTGAGACGTCTCAAAACACTCAACGCAGCACCATGCTCGTGCATGAAGAAGTGTTTTGAGACGTCTCAAAACACTCAACGCACCACCATGCTCGTGCGTGAAGAAGTGTTTTGAGACATCTCAAAACACTCAGCGCACCACCATGCTCGTGCATGAAGAAGTGTTTTGAGACGTCTCAAAACACTCGACGCACCACCATGCTCGTCAGCCTCTTTCGTCCTGTCCTCCCCCGCATCCTCCAGTCTGTCTCCATCTCTCTTCACCTCCCCTCCTCCTTCTCCCCCCCGTCTTTCCTCGGCTCCAGAGCCCTCACCTTTGATCCATCGCGCTGGCTACCAGGAGGAGACGCCCTCCCCCCGCCCGACAATCCTGCCTACTGGCCGTTCGGAGGGGGTCCCAGGAACTGCATCGGCATGGGCTTCGCGCTGCTCGAAGCCTCCCTCGTGCTCGCCCGCATCCTTCAGTCCTTCTCGCTCTCTCTCCCCGCGGGCTCTCGTGCTCCCGTGCCCCGTGCCATGATCACCCTGCGACCCGCTGGGGAGGTGAATCTGCTGCTCGCACCGCTAGCTTCCCATCCACGAAAAAGAGAGGCGCCTGAATCTGGTGGTTCTGGGACAGCAGGGCAAGCAGCAGCAAAAGCTGCTGGAATAGCGGCAGCAGCAGCAACAGCAGCAGCAACAGCAGCAGCACCACCACCACCACCAACACGAGCGTCGGCAGCAGCAGCGGAAGACACAGCTAATGGTAGAGCACATGGCAAGGGTTTAGGTGGAAAGGCAGAAGCCACTGCTGCATCGAGCTGATCAACTGCTGTTGACTGGTGGTGGCTGCTGGTGACTGCTGGTGGCTGCTGGTGACCTGCTGTTGACTGCTGTTGACTGCTGTTGACTGCTGTTGACTGCTGTTGACTGCTGTTAACTGCTGGTGGCTGCTAGTGACTGGTGGTGATTGACAGTGACAGCTAGCACACCATCAGTGCCCTCACTTGTTTCACACCTGCCGACATGCAAGGAAAAATGGAAGGGCTTCAAGGTATGCATCATTTATTGGCGCACTGGTTATACAGTGTGCTCGACCTCTATAACTTCAGAGGTATACGACATCAATATTTTAATCAGACTCAATATTTTACTTAGCATTCATGGGCCAGTAACCATACCGGTACCGAAGGATGTGCTGCACACATGTACAATTGCTAATGAACACACGTAGTGTCATCTTCTTATTGGTTCGATAGATAGACATTACCACTGGAGAATGCTGCCCCAAAATTAGACGCCATGATCGAAGAAAACCAGGAGAATGACTGTACACAAGAGATTGTTACGTGATTTGCCGTATGGCATAGGTTGTGATGCTCCAACACATGGAAACCCCTGCTCCCCTGCTACCCTGCACCCTCATCAGACATGCATTATTCCATAATGTGGGTAGCATCAGTAGAAGCATTGTAATATTCCTAGGCATTTGTTAAAGACACCACAAAAGAAAACCTTGATAAGGGTTTGTGATGATATACCAAAAGCAAAGGTTCACATGGTTTGCCGCATGGCATGGGTTTGCTGGTCGTGCTGCTGCTGCATAACAGAGAGCACAGTAACCCCCAGCACATGGAAACCCCTGCTGCCCTGCACCCTCATCACACATGCATTGCTCCGTGACACTAGCAGTAAGCACGACTCTTTCACAGGGACGGGTGATGCGGTCAGTGCGGTTACCACCAGTCCGGTACACTTGCAATTCTCCACGCACTGTAGCTTGCCGAAAATCGAAGAACCGTTTGCGTGCGCGAGGTAGGATACTTCAACGACGGTCGGGATTGTCGTGAGCTGGATGGGCTGCGAGTTGCTTGTATCGGGGCTTGCTGTAAGGGGGATGGCTGTGTTGAGTATGAATTCCACCCATGAATCTGCCATGGGAAGGAAAGGGGAAGCAGAACCACTGGTGAGATTTGTTTGCACATGGAACTTGACTGACAGCGTGTCAGAAAGTGGGACTGGTAAGACATCGGATCAAGAACAGCCCACGACGAACATTCCAACCACGATGAACGTTCCAGCCCACAAGAAACATCCCTGCCCACAAGTGCCCAAAACTAACAACTCGAAAACCAGCAGCCCAGAAGGGGAGGCCAAGCGCAGTGGTGGCCCTGCGAACCACCTCACCACAGCCCTGAGACACTCACCGCCACCCGGCATCACTCGCCACCGCCCGGCACCGCTCACCACCGCCCTGCAACACCCATCACCACTATGCGCCATTCGCCACTCCGCTCTGCATCACTCACCATCGCCCTGAGCCACCAGACCTGGTCGACCCCCCAACGACGACCCAACGCCATGCAGCGTGAACCCTTGAAGGCCAAGCACAGGTGGGGCGACGGCACTGGGGCGGAAGGAGAAGCAGGCGTGGGGAAGCGCAGGGCGGAGGAAAGCAGAGGCGGCAGTGGAGTGCAGCCAGCGGGAGAAGAAGGGTGGTGGGGGGCGCAGCAGGAAGGGCAGGAGGGACTGGGTGTCGTTGTCAGCGTGCAACTCTGCCAGCCGGTCAATAAGACCTGCGGTTGAGAGGGGAGGGAATTGGGTGAGGTGGCAGGTTGGAAGGCAGCTGCGGCGGAGTGGGAGAAGAAGGGCGTTGGCGTCCACAGCAGGAAGGGCAGGAGAGAGGTCGTGTCATTGTCTGAGTGCGGTTAGTCAGGCCTGTGGGTGTGGAGGGAACAGGAGGGGACTGGGAGAGGTGAACAAACCAAACACGCTCAGTTACAGCAAGTTTACAAAACGATTTTTCTGGAGAAGTGGGGTATCGATCCCCATACCTCTCGCATGCTAAGCGAGCGCTCTACCATCTGAGCTATATCCCCATGTCCGTGAGGAGAAACAGAAATACAAGACCAGTTTTGCGGGTTGGAGCAGAAGCGCACAAGGAGAGTACATGGCTCAGTCCTTATGGGTCTCTGTCAGCCGGACAATTAGACCTACGAGTGTGGAGGGGACAGGAGGGGATTGGGTGAGGTGCGCAGTGGAGTGCAGCCAACCGGAGAAGAAAGAAGGGCGCGGGGGGCGCGGGGGGCGCGGCAGGAAGGGCAGGAGGGAGCGTGGCGTGTGTCGCACTGTCGCTGCCTGCTGGTCACTCATGCCGGTGGGTGCGTGTGAGAGGCGAGGTGAGTGAAGAATACTGAGCGGGGAGGTCCTGTAAAGTTGGGCCGCGCTGTTAGCCGGTTGATTGGGTGGCTTCAGAACTGCAACCTTGTCAACTGAATCTTAGGCGTGAAAAGAGCAGAAAGCGGCCGACTTGCCTGTGAGTGCCGAGTGGAAGAGGGCAGTGATGACGTCAGCGTACTTGGTCCTGGCTTGCACGGCCGTGGGCAAGGCTCCAGACAAGGCATGCGGGTCAATCGGGTCAATGGAGTCAACGGGGCTGCTGCCAGCACCGGCAGCACCACCAGTGCCGTAAGAATCATCGGCGGTGTCAGGAGGAGGATCGCTGGCAGAAGGAGGAATGGCAGAGGAAAGCGAGTCTGGCTCCACGTGCAGTGGGAGGTTGGAGTGGCCTGTCGTGACTACTTCTTTCAACCTATAGCCTGGCGCCTGTGGTGGGTGCACACGCAGGGAAAGCGAAGGGTCAACAGAGTCAATTGCAGGTGGAGGAATGGCGGAGGTGAGGGAGTCTGCAGCACTGGAAGGCTGGAAGTAAAGAAGGCATCTTGGGTGGAGAGCAATGGAAGGCTCTAGTACTGAGCGAGCACTGTTATGTGGACAATGATGGCAGGCTATGCTACTGGGCCAGCACTGTGATGTTGACAATACTGTTATAGAGAGACTAGAACGAGTTTGATCCGCCGGATCCGGGTCAAATCTATTTTTCTATGCAACAATTTGGCAGGCTGTAGTACTGAGCCAGCACTATTATGTTGTCCTCTGAGACCACCTCTGGCGCCCGGTGGGGGTAGGAGGGGTGGTGGGGAGGCAGGTGATAGAGAAGAAAGAACGTACCTGGTGGCCCAGCAGGGTAAAGAAGGCATCTCGCGTGGAGAGTACAGGCAGGCTATAGTACTGAGCCAACACTGTTATGTTGTCTTCTGAGACGGTTTCTGGCGCCTGGTGGGGGTAGGCTGGATGGTGGGGCGGGAGGCCGAAGGAGAAGGGACCCACATCAGCGAAGGAGAGAGAGGGGTCCTGCAGAAGGAGGGGGAGAGAGAGGGGGCAGGAAGGGAGGAGACAGGGAAATGGGGGAGGGGAAATAGGGGGTGGAAGGAAAGAGGTGGAAGGAAAGAGGTGGGAGGTCGCGTGATGTTGGCAAGGCGGAAGGAGAAGCCCTTTACCAGCACCACCGCTGCCCCTTTACCCGCTCCCTTATTCGGATCAGATGTGAGATGAGGTGCAGCAGGGCACAGGGAAACACGCTCCTCCTGCTCCCACCCCGCAACACATACCTCTGCCCCGCAACACATACCTCTGCCCCGCAACACATACCTCTGCCCCGCAACACATACCTCTGCCCCGCAACACATACCTCTGCCCCGCAACACATACCCCTGCCCCGCAACACATACCCCTGCCCCGCAACACATACCTCTGCCCCGCAACACATACCTCTGCCCCGCAACACATACCTCTGCCCCGCAACACATACCTCTGCCCCGCAACACATACCTCTGCCCCGCAACACATACCTCTGCCCCGCAACACATACCTCTGCCCCGCAACACATACCCCTGCCCCGCAACACATACCTCTGCCTCTCGGCACGCCCGGTTGCCACGGCAGAAGGAGAAGAAATTCACCATCATCACCGCTGCACCAGCCACCGCCTTCACTCCCCCCAGCCCTCCTTCTTTCCCCTTCTCCCCTTGCCGCAGCCGCAGCTGAAGTGGGGTTTGCGGCGACCTACCACCCCCCCAGCGCAGCAGCAGCTGCTGCAGCACGGTATCATACATCTGTAGAAAGGATTCTGGGCCTTGCCCCTTGGCCTCGCCCTGGTCGGATAGTGCCAGCTCAGCAACCACCAGATCCACGTCATCAGGCAGTGACTGCAGGAAGGTGGCTCTAAGGAAGGAGATAGGGAAGATTAGTGGTTGGAGGCGGGAGAGAGGGGGGGGGGGAAGCGGATGGAGGAGGGGAAAAGGGGGATGGGTGAGGAAGCAGGGGGGTTGCTTACTGCGCGCACATGTGCATACACACAGGCACAGTCCCAACAACAAACGCCCGAGAAACCCAATGCTGACTCACCCATCACAGGACGCCCACGTGGCGAGACTGCCACGTGGCAGGCCCAGGTTGATGAGCCTCTGCCACTACGGCATTCCCTGATTGGCCGGGCACATGCCACTGCTTGAGGTGGCGAGGGGGGAAGGCGCGGATTAGGTTGTCGAGAGCAGAGGCGAGCCAGCCCTGTGGTGGCGAGTGGCTGTGTGGGGAGGGTAAGGGGGTTTAGGGGATGCGGAAGGGGGAGAAAGGGGAGGTGCGGATGAGTGGAGAGTGCTTGAGGTGGCGAGGGGGGAAGGCGCGGACGAGGTTGTTGAGAGCCGAGGCGAGCCAGCCTTGTGGTGGCGAGTGGCTGTGTAGGGAGGGTAAGGGGGTTTAGGGGATGCGGAAGGGGGAGAAAGGGGAGGTGCGGATGAGTGGAGAGTGCTTGAGGTGGCGAGGGGGGAAGGCGCGGACGAGGTTGTCGAGAGCCGAGGCGAGCCAGCCTTGTGGTGGCGAGTGGCTGTGTAGGGAGGGTAAGGGGGTTTAGGGGATGCGCAAGGGGGAGAAAGGGGAGGTGCGGATGAGTGGAGAGTGCTTGAGGTGGCGGGGAGGGAAGGCGCGAATTAGGTTGTCGAGAGCAGAGGCGAGCCAGCCTTGTGGTGGCGAGTGGCTGCTGGGGGGTTGGTGAGGGAAGGGGAGACGAAATAAATGGGTAGGGGGAGGGGAGGGGAGGGAAGGGAGGGTGGAGGGAAATGGAAGGACGATTGAGAGTGAGTGATTGAGGTGGTGTGGAGGAAAGGAAAGGACCGAATGAGAGCTTCGAGCGCAGAGGCGAGGCAGCCTTGCTGTGGGGAGTGGCTGCGCGGGGAGAGGATTGCGAGAAATTGGGGAGAGGATTGCGAGAAATTGGGGAGAGGATTGCGAGAAATTGGGGAGAGGAAAGGGGGTGGGATGGGATGGGGAGGGGAGGGGCAGGGATCGAAAGTGATTGCGGTGGCACGAGGGAAGTCACTGGCTCAGGGGGGCACCTTGAAACTGATTCATCACTACTCCCCCTACTCCCTCTACTCCAACTCTCTCACCTCCTCTCCCTGGTCGTCCCATACAGCCCCTGGTTGAACATTATTGGCTGCGGCCCCCTGTGCCCCGCCGAGAGGAAAGTCACTGGGCCGCCCACCACTGCCACCGTCACTGGTAGCCGCTGCACCACCAGCTGCAGCGGGGGGCGCCGGCGGGGAAGGGTGTGGAAGATGGATGGGGGGAAAGGAAGAATAGACAAATGAACAGGGAAAGTGAGCGCCCCCCCACCACTGCCACCGTCACTGGCAGACGCTGCACCACCACCTGAGAGGTTGGGGGGGTTGCGGAGGGGGAGGAAGCAGATGAGGGATGGGGGTTGCATGGGGAAAGTCACTGTGCCGCCCACCACTGTCACTTGTCGCTGGCAGCCGCTGCACCACCAGCTGCAGTGGGGGGCGCGGACGTGGTGTGGTGCAAGGGGTTTGGTGGAAAGTGGAGAAAAGGTGGGGTGGGGGGGGGGGGGGAGGTGAGAGCAATGACAGGCTTGCTGATGATGATCTTGTCTGAAATCAAATCAATCTTGCTGATTCTCAGTGTAAGCAGCAAGATAATCTCTATGGGCTCACATTCTACATGCCCTGCTCGCACCCTCTATGCTCACACCTTGTATCCCACCCTGTACGCTCACACCCTCTATGGTCACACCCTTCATGCTTCTACCTTGTACAGGAACATATCCAGCCGCAGCATATCCCCTTTATAAGACACCGCGCGCCTCAGAGCCGCGGCCGGCAAATGCGGCTGCCACTGGAGCGCATCTGCAAGATCGCACGGCAGAGCCTGGCTCGCTCTCGGCCAGTCAAACTCATCCACGTCAGCAGCGGCATTATGGCCACTGTTCGCTACGGAAAGAGGCTGCAAGCCGCGTTCTAAAGTGCCGCTGGGAAATAAACCCTTTCCCAGCGGAGATCCCGAGGAATTTGCCAAAATCAAATTCGCCAAATTCTGATTCGTCAAATCCGATCCCTGTGCGCTCCACCTCCCTGAATTGCGGAATTCCGCCTGGAATATATTTTTTGGTGCGTTCGCCAAGCCAACCGTGTTCGCTGAGACTGAATCGAGATTGCCATTGCCGAAGCTACTTCGCACGTTTGGCGGAGAGGTGGAAGGAGAGGAGGTGGAGGAGGAGGAGGAGAGGAGACCGCTGAGGAACGCAAACCAAACGATAACGATCGCGAGCAGTGTTAGTAGGGCGACGACTAGCCGGCTAGAGCCCCGCGTCGGCCGCATGGCTGGCAACTATTGGGGCGGGAGTCACGGGCAAATTTGAATTTTGAGTGGGGAGTGATCAGCTTCGTTCTGCAGGATGTGGTTGCGTTCATGCCTACCTCGATTCTATAATTCCTTTCTAGTTTCGGTAACTTCTATTGCGTAAAAGCGGTTAGTATCTCGTCCTCGGATCAACACCATAAGCCGTATGTGTTCGAATCTTTTGCTTACGTGGTTGCTGATGGGATGCCGTGGAAAGCTCGCTCCCTGGTTTCCCACTGGACTGCAATTTCTTGCTGTGGCACCCGTGGCTCGTTTTGCCGCTCGCCACATCAGCACAACCCCGCTGGCAGGATGAGGCTTCCAGGGTCTCCTTTCTTCCGCGTTGACTAATGATCAATGGCGCGATTTTCTGGGCGTGCGCGGCTCGGGCCACGTCTCCCCACAAACCGTTTGCATCGCGACTCGCTGGCTAATCCTCACCCCTGTAATTCCAATATGAACCATGCTCAACCACATAGGAACCTACTGAAACGTATCAAACCGCATTTTACTTGTCCTCTTCCAAGTTCACTTTTGCCAAACTTCAGGCCAGTCATGAAGGCTGCGACTAAGGACGCGTCAACTCCCAGCAATGTATCAGGATCGAGGCAAGATCGATGTGCACACCGGTGTGCTCCACCTGCAAATCGGCAGTGTACCCCTACCGTCGAGCCACACTTGACTAGGGTAATTTGCAGGATCGGGGGCTGCTGGGTTGGCTTGTCGCATGCTGCAAATCCGCCTTCGCAGTGCGTCGCAAAGTGTGTTTCCCAACTGTCTCTGTGCTTCGCAAAGTGTGTGTTACCATGTGCGACGCCGATCGATCGCGGCTGTCAACTAGCGCGCGATTGTAGCTCCCACTCACCGAAATGCCACGATCGGTGTGTGGCAGGTGGCAAGGTGTCCCGAGATCCGGAGGGGACATCGGGAGTGTTGGCCGGTTTACTGTGCAATGGAGAAACCTGACGAAAACTGGAAACAAGACACTTCGCTAGCTCGTGAATGTACTGTATATATGGCACATCGATCCTACGGAGGATCGATGTGCCCAAAGTGCTGGGAGTTGACGCGTCCTAAGCATAGTAGTCCTACATCGTCATTCTCATAAGCATCTCATTATTTCGCAAACTTCACCTCTCTCAAGGATAGAAGGTTCTCCTCCACCAATGGCTGCATCCGTCGTCGCCGTGAGCTCCCTGAGCGTCTCTCGCAGCGCATCCGTCGGCGTCGTCTCGACGCTCGGATCGGAGGTGCTCTCGTCATCGTCACTAAATCGCCACGTGTCCACCAGTCCCGTTATTCGTAGAAGAAACGCGGCTTTCGCGATTCGTGCTCAGATCGACGACCAAGACTCGCAGTCTACATCGCGAGATTCCTGGCCCAGTGCGTCCACGAGTCACTCGTCGCTTTTCACATTTCCAAGTTTACCGGATTGACTGACAGCGGCAATGCAAAGCACCAGTCCTTCTAGAAACTAAAGCATCCATGGCATGAAATAACTCGCGTTATTCTTCTGCCTCAACTATTTCACAGGGCGATTTGCCGTGTCCATGCACCCTCACTCCTGGTGCCTCGGGTCCTTCCCTCGCATTGCCCCTGACACCGTGTTTTCTTATATCGCGTATGTCAGCACATGCGGCGCTATCCGGAGCGAAGCTCCTCGCAGCGGCGGCGATCGCGGGCTCTCTCGCACTCGGCGCCGTGGGGCTGCCGCCGGACGCAGCGCAGGCGGCGCTGAACCGCTTTGAGGCGGAGACGCGCGGGGAGTTCGGCATCGGCTCCGCCGCGCAATACGGCTCCGCGGATCTGAGGTAAATCTTCATATTACAACGTGGCGCCGCGGATGTTCAGACCAACGTCCGCACGCTTCCGTGCGTGGCGTGGTGGGGCACTCGTGTTGTGCCCGGCGTATTGTCTCTCCCCTGGGAAGCGAACTTATCTGGTTTCCCCTTTAAAATGAATAAATCACGAAGTAGAATAATCACGAAGCGAACTTATCTGGTTTCCCCTTTGTAAGAGACTGAACAAACGCAGTAATATTTTCCCTCATCCCCACATTCCGCTCTCGCATCCCCAACCCCTCTTCCCTTCCCCCTTCCCGACCCGCGCGGCGGCGCAGGAAGACGGTGCACCGCAACGAGAACTTCCGCCGCGCTCGTGCCTCCTTTCCCTCCCCCACCGTTACTCACCGCCACCCATCCCTTCCCACCGCCATCGCAGGAAGACGGTACACCGCAACGAGAACTTCCGCCGCGCCAACTTCACGTCGGCGGACATGCGCGAGGCGGACTTCAGTGGGAGCGTGTTCGCGGGAGGGTACCTGGAGAAGGCCGTTGCTTACCGCACCAACTTCGAGGGTGAGAGAGTATCTTATTCAATCAATGGACCGTTTGCCGCAGAAGCAGCAATTCTGGCGCGCCTCTAATCCGCGTCGCTTCTCCTTCAATCATGACTTCGCTTTTTCTTTCTCTCCTCCCCTCCTCCTCCCTCCTCCTCCTCCCCCCTCCCTCCTCCTCCTCCTCCTCCTCCTCCTCCTCCTCCTCCTCCTCCTCCTCCTCCTCCTCCTCCTCCTCCTCCTCCTCCTCCTCCCCCTCCTCCTCCCCCCGCTGTTCGGCCATGCAGGAGCGGACTTCACAGACGCGCTTATGGACAGAATGGTGAGTCGGCCCCATAAGGATGGTGCTCGCGGTTTGTTCGTTGAGTCGTCTAAAGATAAGAAGTGCACCTTCAGTGTGCTGAACAAGGCGAATCTAAAAGATGCAGTGCTGCTGCGGGGGTGACTAGGAATGCATTGCCTCCCACTGCCTTACATCTGGGGATTCTTTCTGCGTGCCTCTTGCACAGGCTCTCACAGCGCAAGTGACTTGAATGTCTTGCTTCTAAATCTTGCCTCCACCCCGCCAGGTGCTGAACGAGGCGAATCTGAAGGACGCGGTGCTGCTGCGGGTGGTGCTCACTCGCTCTGACCTGGGAGGGGCCATTGTGGACGGCGCTGACTTCAGCGACGCTATCCTTGACCTGCCACAGAAGCAGGTACGTCTGGTGGCGCTTGGCAGTTATATTTGTGAGTGGTAGCTAAGGGTTGACTAGGTGGATTCTGAATCGTCCTGGGAGGGGCCATTATGCATGGCGCTGACTTCAGAGACGCCATTCTCGACCTGCCACTGAAGCAGGCGCGTCTGGTGAAGCCAGGGGAAAAACCCTGTGACAGGGATGGACACAAGGGTGGTTTTAGGGTCATTCCCGCTCCCCACGGTATGTGACCCCCCCCCCCACCACCACCCACCGCCCCGCCTACCTTCTTCCCGTCCAACAGGCCCTATGCACGTACAGCAAGGGAGAGAACCCAGTGACAGGCATGGACATGAGGGTCTCTTTTGTATCATACCCAATCCCCACTTATGTAACACCTCCCGTCTTCCCCTACCTCCCAATCCTTCACTTTAGCAGGCACTGTGCAAGTATGCCAAGGGAGAGAACCCAGTGACAGGCATGGACACGAGGAGGAGCCTTGGTTGCAGTAACCGCAGGGGAAATGCATACGGCTCGCCGTCATCCCCTTTATTGAGTGATGCACCGAAGAAGTTTCTATCCCGCGATGGATTTTGTGACGATAGTACAGGTCTGTGCAATGCTTCTATGTAACTGCATAAAGATAAAACAGTTGGCAGCTGGTGGAAGAAATACCATAATGTACCAATTTTGCATTAAAATATGTTGTATGGTAGCATCTTGTCAGAATGTTATTGTCTAGCCTGCAGTGGGGTGCTCAATAGTGAGTACAACCCCTTAGGGTTTCCTATTTGTACCAACCTGCTTGCTAGTTCAACCATCCTCATTCTCATTTTTCTTCTTCAATTCTCCTTCGTATACCCTAAACCCTAGTTCTAGGGCACACCCTACCTACTCTATGTGTGGGCCTAGGCTACTAAGCCTAGGCCCCACTCCTAGTGATCTTGACATGGTATCTAGAGCGAGCATGATCTTGCCGTCTAGCTCAACGGGCCCACCAACTGCTTCCGCTGCCGTACTTTCCGCCGCGCGCTCCGTGGTGCGCGGCGCTGTATTTTTCTTCCCGCCGCGCGCTCCTAGCGCGTGGCGGCTTTTTCTGCCCGCCGCGCGCTCGGGGCTCGCGGCGGCTTCACCGCCCGCCCGCTGCTCCTCCCCGTCGCTCGTCGCGGCGCCTTCAGGGGGCCTGCCCGCTGCTCCCCCCCGTCGCTCGTCGCGGCGCCTTCAGGGGGCCCGCCCGCTGCTCCCCCCCGTCGCTCGTCGCGGCGCCTTCAGGGGGCCCGCCCGCTGCTCCCACAGTCGCCCGTCGCTCGCGCCGCCGCCCCTCCTGCAGCTCGCGACGCCGCCCCCACAGCAGCTCGCGACGCCGCCCCTGCAGCAGCGCGCGAGCAGCCCCTGCGCCAGCGCGCGAGCAGCCCCTGCGCTCGCGACGCCGCCCCTGCAGCGGCGTGTGTACCGCCCCTGCGCCAGTGACCCTGGCCCCTGGAGCAGCCGCCTCTGGAGCAGCCCGCGTCGCCGCCCCTGCAGCAGTGCGCCAGCCGCCCCTGCAGCAGCGCGTGTGCCGCCCCTGCGCCAGCGACCCGCCCCTGCAGCAGCCGCCCCTGGAGCAGCCCGCGTCGCCGCCCCTGCAGCAGTGCGCCAGCCGCCCCTGCAGCAGCGCGTGTGCCGCCCCTGCGCCAGCGACCCGCCCCTGGAGCAGCCGCCCCTGGTGCAGCCGCCCCTGGCCCCTGCGACGCCACCCCTGCAGCAGCCGCCCCTGGAGCCGCCCACCACTGCAGCAGCCGCCCCTGGAGTCGCCCGCCACTGCAGCAGCCGCCCCTGGTGCAGCCGCCCCTGGTGCAGCCGCCCCTGCAGCTGCACGCAACGCCGCTCCTGGACCCGGTCCAGCCGCCTCCTTTTTCGTGTCATCTGCGGTCTTGTTCCTCTCGTGCTGTATGTGTCGTTTCTTGCCCGCTCCGTGTTCGTTCGTCTTGCTCGTGTATTTGTTTGTTTTGCCTGTGTTCGTTTGCTCTACCTACCTACCTACCTACCTACCTGCGCCCTCGTGCCTTGTGCCTTGTGCCTTGTGCTTCGTGCCTCGTGCCTCGTGCCTCGTGCATCGTGCGCCCTGCTGCTGCCCGCGCCCTCGTGCGCCCTGCTGCAGCCCGCGCCCTCGTGCGCTCTACTCTACCTGCGCTCTCTTGCCTTGTGCCTTGTGCCTTGTACCTCATGCCTTGTGCATCGTGCGCCCTACCTGCTCCGCGCTGTTGCTCTGCACGCGCGGTTGCCCGCGCCCTCGTGCGCTCTACCCTACCTGCTCCGCGCTGTTGCTCTGCACGCGCGGTTGCCCGCGCCCTCGTGCGCTCTACCCTACCTGCTCCGCGCTGTTGCTCTGCACGCGCGGTTGCCCGCGCCCTCGTGCGCTCTACCCTACCTGCTCCGCGCTGTTGCTCTGCACGCGCGGTTGCCCGCGCCCTCGTGCGCTCTACCCTACCTGCTCCGCGCTGTTGCTCTGCACGCGCGGTTGCCTGCGCCCTCGTGCGCTCTCCCGCCCCCCCCCCCCCCCCCCCCCCCCCCCCTGCGTCCCCTGGACAGGAGGGTGTGGGGGTGGCGGGTGTGGGGGTGCTCCTTGTGCGTCGCCCCTACCTTCTCCTCCGTCTCCCACTGCTGCAGCTGCCGCTGCGGGGGGGTGGATGTGTGGGAGACGAGGGAGTGGCGCTAGGGGGGTGATGTGGGAGTGGAGCTAGAGGTGACACTGGGGGTGTGTGTAGGGGGGTGTGGGACAGCTGGAGGAGGTTGCAGCACCTGTTGCCCGTGTGTCTGCAGCTTCAGTCGTCGTCTCCAATCTTCTCTCCCTTCACAGTTCCTCCTCCTCCTCACTTGCCCTCTGTGATAGCCTCTAGCTTTGCTCATATTTGTGAACTATTGCACTGCCTGCTCATTGTGCTGATTGCACCCCACTTTGGCTATGGGGGTGTGTCAGAATGTTATTGTCTAGCCTGCAGTGGGGTGCTCAATAGTGAGTACAACCCCTTAGGGTTTCCTATTTGTACCAACCTGCTTGCTAGTTCAACCATCCTCATTCTCATTTTTCTTCTTCAATTCTCCTTCGTATACCCTAAACCCTAGTTCTAGGGCACACCCTACCTACTCTATGTGTGGGCCTAGGCTACTAAGCCTAGGCCCCACTCCTAGTGATCCTGACACATCTCTGATTCAGTATCAGTGAGCGGTCAACTTATAGAAGAATGGTGAACTTATGACAGGGCCCAAAATTGGTTTAGGCCTACCCTTACAAATCAGGGTACTAGCCCCTCCTAGAACAGACCCCTAGGGTAGAATTTTCCGTACCCTGATTTCAGCAGGGTAACTCAGGCACTAGGCTGGTTTGAGCAGGGTAGTTTTGGGCCAACCCTGTTTTGGTTACCGTTTTGTGAGCTACGGTTTTAATAACAACAGAATTAAGTTATACACCCATAGTTCATTAACTCTACAAAAGTCAAACATTAACTACACACCTACTCAGTGCCACCCCCACTGCCTACATCTTCTGCAAACTCAGTCTGTGAAGCTCTGGTGGGGTCGAACTCCCTGGTGGATCGCCTCATCTTCTCTCCACGAATGATAGCGACCACTTCAAACCAGTCGACATCGTACCGCAGCAGGGAGCAATGCATCAGATGCTCCAAGCTAGTGTCGCCAAGGCTGCCACGGCCCCACGTCTTGATCAGATTCTGCTTCGAGAAGCCACGCTCGCATTCGACCGTGCTCAATGGCAGCACGGCCACTGACTGCCACATCCGCATGATGTTGGGGAAGGAGACACGCCATGCATCATCCCGCAGCATGTTCGTCAGCGCCTGGTGGAATTCCTCGTTGTTGTGCTGGGCGAACATTGTGGATGTAAACATCCACAGCTCCTGCTGGGCTCTCTTGTAGTCGAACCCTGTGGTGGGGCGGAGTGCGGGTGAAAGCTAAGCCGATGCTCGCAGACACGGGTAGGGGTGGGGGGCATTAGTCCAACAAGCCACAGTATGCAGGATGTGCAATGGTCAACCTCATGTCAGGCATGAAAGCGACAACAAACATCATAACATGTGCAAGCGCTACAGAAGGCTTACCTGGCAGCTTGTGGTGGTACAACTTGTGCAGCTGGCCGAGCCACTTTTTGAAGGTTTCCAGTCGCTTCGTGTCGTCGGACACGTACGAAGCTGTGCGAAACAGCTTCGAGCCTTCCAGCAGCTCCAGGTCGCGCATCCGCCACTCCCGCTCTTTGTCAATGGCGCGCACGTACTTGATCGACAGCTCGACGCACGCCGTGACATCGCCTTCCGTCTCGTGTCCTGGCAGCGGGCGCTCGTGCAGCGTGAACTCAAACGTGACGGGATTCCCGTCCCCGTCTACGCCCTCCGCCTTCATCTCGCGCTTGTCCTTTGTCCCGTGCCTCTGAATGAACTCGGGAAGCTGCATTTTGTCTCCGCTGCCGAAATGGTGTGCAGGGTCGCGGAGGGAATACCGCGTCTTCAGACGCATCCTTGTCTGCTGCACGATGTGTGCAACAAGGGTGACGTCCACCTGCACATGGGGATCTCAACGAGTTAGTTAGTACACGTGATTGCAAGCGACAACAAAGACGTCAGCAACAAAGACGCTTACCTGGCGCTGCTGGAATCGCAGGTTAAGGCTGTTCAGTTCCCGAAGCACATCCGCAAGAAAGCGGATGAGCCCGTGGAACTTGAACGAGGTCACCACCTCGTACAGATCCGCCTTGTAATCCTTCATCACCACAATGGCCGCAGGGAGCACGTCTAGCAAGCGCTGAATCGCTTCACCGCGGGCGAGCCATCGTGTGTCGCTGATCCCCTGCGCCTCGAGATTCGTCTGGCAGAAGATCCGCTGCATCTCTTGAAACTTCGCGTAGTCTACGCTGCTGCGGCCGATGTGGTCAGCGAAGGCGCGCACGACATCGTCGATCATTAGCAGGTCAGGTACCTCTTCTGCAGCATCACTTGCAGCGAGTGCCTCCCTGTACATACAGGCAACACAACAGATTGACGGTCAGAGGCAGCACTTGGGAAACCAGCAGCACGGTGCACATAACAGTGATGCTTACCGGTGAGCGATACAATGTGTTGAGGCCAGATGCGGAATGCGCATGCGAAGACGTGTCACGACTCCACGGTTCTTGCCGACCATGACGCTGGCACCATCGGATGCGACGCTGGATATCTTCTGGAGGTCCACCCCGATACCTGTCAGATACTGCACGACAGCAAATGTGAGCGAGGCACCGTCACAACGGTCAACAGTAATTAGTGTCAGGAACTCGGTAACCACCGTGGTGCGCTGGAAGAACGTGGCGTACAGAATGAGGTGTTTCGCATTCACACGGTCGGTTGACTCGTCGAGTTGAATCCCTATCCACGGGGATTCCAGAAGGTGCTGCCACTGTGTCTCCTGGAGGTATGTTGAAAGGGCGCGCAGGTTCTCTTTGAAGCCGTAACTGCCAGGGGACAATAAAGGTGGTCAGATACCACAATAAAGAATAATAAACACGCCCGTATCACCAAATCAGGCCACCACTCACTCTGTGTAGTAAGCGCCATAGCCGCCAGCGGGAGGAAGGTCTGGTAGTCCCTCCTTCGCCAGAAACCAACACAGCGGGACGAACATCGCAATGGGTGCGTCGGCCTTACAGACAAAGTGCGCGATGTGGAGGAGCCGAATGATGTGACGAGTGGAAGCGTCCGTACCCTGCCAACGTGTGATTGATGCCTGCTTCGCCTTCTCCGCCTCCGCCTTCTCCTGATTCTCCGACGCCTGCTTGTGTGCACGGGAGGATGTGTGAGTGCGGATGCTGCCGATCTGGAGATCCCGTGCACCCTCACCCCTCGGCCCGTACGCGGTGTGCGCTAGTGGATCTCCATGCTTCACACAAATCGCACATTTCAAAGACGGACAACCGTTAGACATGCGGAGCAAACGTAACCACTTGAAGCTACCTGCCCACTGACCCTCAAACGTCTTCTTCACCGATTCATACTCAGCATCCGCCAGAGCGGTTGGTGGCTTCGGATCGGCCGAAGGAGCAGGGTGCTTGTGGGATGTAGCGTTTCGGGGAGGAGGGGCGCCCCAGAGCGTCTGCTGCTTGTACAAAACTCCCACGCGCGGCCGCTTGACGGGCGCGGTGCTGACCGTAGAAGGCGAAACCGTAGGCGGCTTTGACGAGCCCTCGCCACCTCCGGGAACTAAAACAATGTCCGGATGTGGCTCCCAAGCCGTGGGTGAGTCTGGCGGCTTTAAAGGATATACCGTTCCTACCACACATTCTGGTGACGGCTCACGAGGCGGCGGCTGAACGATGGGCACGGCGTAGTTCTCGCTAAGGCGTGGTAAAACGCCTAGTACAGAGAGGCCGTTTCTCGCTCCATCAGGTGGATCGGGCTCTCCAGTGGGCATTGTGGAGCTGAAAGTTTGGAATGGTTGAGAATGAGGGCCAAGCGAGAGACCCCCTCGTAGAGAACGAGCCTCTGGCTGCCTCTCCAGGGCCGTTTCTTCCACGCGGCGGGAAGGGGATGGCCTGCATGGTAGGTCTGCTGCTGCAAACTGTTGTTCAGGACAGCTTGAAGCTGTCCTTGACTGCAAAATCTGCTCTGTTGGCGGTGGGCGTGGCGACGGGTGGCAAGATTCGAGAATGCGTTGGCAGCCCTGCAGGAGAAACAAGAAAGGAGGCAACATGGCGAGTTGCCGACAGTTCAGGAAATTTTATTGCGCGTGGTTACTAGTGACAACCGGTGTTGGTGGGGTTGTGGTACATTTTGTCACCACGCGGACTGTGGTCAGATTCGCGCTAGGAAAGTTTCGGTAAAAGGGTAGTGTACACCGAACCCTGATTCCGTCAGGCTAACCTTAAAACCAATCAGGGTGGAAAAAAACATGCTCTTTTAAGAGAAGGGTAACTAACTAGCATTCCTGATTTCGGCAGGGTATTCCTGAAAAAACGGCCGGCCCCCAGGGTAATCAGGGCGTTTTACCCTGATATTTTTACACTGTCTGATCTCATTCCAAAACATCAGGCATGTCAGCTAGATTTTTTTGCATACTGCTGCAGTGTGCATTGAGATTGTACTGTTTAGAGACCTGCTGTTGCTGATTCCAATAACTGTTCACTAGCAACAGTCTTCACACACACAGGTTCAATAATCCATATTGAATTGTACTCTCTACAATCTACAAGTACAGTACAAGGAGTTTATACCCTACAACAGAGGTGCCAAAACTGGGTGGGAAGAATTTGGCAGCAAGAGAAGAGCAACTACCAGAACCGAAAAAAAAACTGTGCAAGTACCCACAACAAATATACCAGTAGGCAGTTGGATAGCATCCAAATATTGCTGCCCTTCTTTCCCCTTGTCAGTCCCCATCCACCACTGCTGCAACCTTCACAATTTTTGTCCATCACTGGTCGATCGACCAGCATCCCCCAACCTCAGCCTCTCCTTGGCATCCTCTCCATCATCACATCTCCTCGGCAACTTCTCCCCGGGCATGTCAAACTTCTCCGCAAACTTTTCAACGGCTGCCCGGAGCTCCTGCACTTCCGCAGAATCAGCCAGCTGATCCAACCCCCCTGCCCCTGCCCCCCCTGCCGCTGCCCCCATCCCACTCCGCGGCCTCTTCCCTCCAATCATCTGCGCCCCACTCTTCACCCCAACCTTTCCCCCAGGACCCACAGCAGCAGCAGCAGCACCACCACTGCCTAAAGCAGCAGCACCACCGGCAGCCGCAGCAGCGGCAGCACCAGCACTGCAACCACTCGAGCTGGGAACAGAGAGCATTCCAGATGCAGGTGAAGCGGAGGCAGCTGCGGGGGCCGGCGAGAGGGAGAGCTGCAGGCGCTGCGAGTGCAGCGAGCGCTGGGCGATCTGCACGGCCCTCACAAGAAAATCGGCGATCCGGTCCATGTCTGCCTCCTTGCACCCCCGCGTGGTCATGGCTGGTGTGCCTGGAGGAGAGGGAGGAGTGGAGAGGGAAGGCAAGAAACAGTTAAGAAAAAATCGATCTGCAAGGCTCTGACGAGGAAGTCGGCGATCCGGTCCATGTCTGCCTCCTTGCACCCCCGCGTGGTCATGGCTGGTGTGCCTGGAGGAGTCAGAAGGAAGGAAGCATGAGGGGAGGAAAGTAGGGGAGGAAAGGAAAGCTTGAGCTGAGATTGAAGCGCGTTAAAACAGCATTTGTGCAGAAGAGAGGAGAGAACGGGGGAGGTGGGAGGGGGGGGGGAGAGGCAAGGAAAGCTGCTTGCAGAGCCAGAGTTGATACACACTGACACATTACTAACGGACGCGTTACTCACCAATGCGCACGCCGCCAGGCAGGGCGGAGTTGTCTCCAAAGACGGCGTTCTTATTGAGCGTGATGCTGCACGCCTCGCACACCTTCTCGAACCGCCCGCCCGTGAGACCCAGCGGGCGCAGGTCCCACAGCAGCAGGTGGTTGTCCGTACCGCCCGTCACTATTCGGCACCCACGCCGCGCCAGCGCCGCTGCTAGCGCCCTCGCGTTGCGCTTCACCTGGATGGGGAGGGGCGGAACGGAGGGGGGGGAATGAGGGGCGGGGAGGACGGGCGGAAAGGAATACGTTCATATGATTGGTGGAGAATCGTGTGAATGGCATGCGCGCCATTGAAATGGAAGAAACAGACCCAAATGACATGAGTGAACTTCGAAAGAACGCAAAAATGCGAAAAACAAAAGCGATGAGCGCACAAAAAAAAAAAAAAAGCCTACCTGGATCATGTACGCGCGGAACGCGGGGGACGCCGCTTGCTTGAGCGAGACGGCCAGCGCGGCCGTGTGGTTGTTGTGGGGGCCGCCTTGCATCGACGGGAACACCGCGAAGTTGATTCGGTCCTCCAAATCGTACACCGGCACCCGCGCCGACGGCGGCGGCGGCGGGGGCGAAGCACTCGCTCCCCCTGCTGCCGCCTCTCCACCCCCTCCGCCTCCCCCTCCACCTCCACTTCCCCCTGCGCTATTTTTACAACAGCTGCTGCCTCCACAACAACATCGCACAGTGTTCGCGCCTGCTGCCGAGGCGCCGCCGCTATTCCTGGCGGCTTCCCCTCCGCCAGCGCCAGCCGTGCCCATGGTAGCCGACGCGGCGGCGGCGCTACGGGGAAAGACGATGGGGCCGCGGCGGTAAAAGACGAGCCCACCTCTGGGTCCTCGGAGCGTTTTGTGGGTCGTGCTGGTTACCACATCTGCGAAATCGAACGGGCTATTACACTCCTGCGCCGCGACGAGTCCGCTGATGTGGGCCATGTCGCACATGAGAATCGCGCCGCATTTGTCCGCGATGCGGCGGCACCGCGCGAAATCCCACTCGCGCGGGTACGCACTTCCGCCCACCACCAGCAGCCGCGGGCGGTACTCCTGCGCCTTCTCCTCCATGCGCTCATAGTCGATTATTCCAGTAACGGGGTTCACCTTATAAGGAAGCGTTTCAAAATAAATCGACGCGCCAGAGACCTTCTTCCCGCCATTGGTGTAAAATCCGTGACTCAAATGACCACCGGAAGGCAGATCCAATCCCATGATTCGATCTCCCGGCGTCAGAAGCGCCGTGTAAACCGCGAAGTTCGCGGACGTGCAGGAGTACGGCTGTACGTTCACTCCCCACCGTTGCGGGTCGAGATGAAACGCGGCAAGCGCGCGTTCGCGGCAAAGATTCTCCACTGCGTCAATCCACTGGTTCCCGCCATAGTACCGCGCTCCGGGCATCCCTTCCGAGTACTTATTCGTCATCGGGCTCCCTAGCGCCTCGAGAACGGCCTGCGAGGTGAAATTCTCCGACGCGATTAACTCCAGGCAGCAGCGCTGGCGCCGCTTCTCCCCCTGAATTAATCGCCAGATGTCCGGATCCGCTTCTTCTAAGGACGAGTTACCCCATACGCTAACCGGTTCGAAGGCCGCTAGGTCCTCTGCGTTAGATCGCGCGGATCCGACGGGAACGATCGCGCCATTACCGAGAGAGCTGCTGCTTGCTTCGCCGGAAGGCTCCAGCTTCGTTCGCACGACGGGCTTGCGATCAGACTCGACATCGCCGTCGCCGTCGCCGTCGCCAGGCTCGCCTGCGAACTCGCGATTGGGACGCACGCAAGGAGCGCTGGATGATCTATGATGCTTATTGGAGCGCTGCGATTGGTCCGCCGACTGCTGCGACTGTTGCTGCGACTGCTGCTGCGACTGCTCGATGCTAGGCGACGGGCTCATGAAGACAAAAGTGGGTGTCGGCTCCCGGCCGTTCGCAGAGATGCCGGCACCAAACGAGGGCGAACGAGGCTCCTCTTTGGCGAAGAGAGGCTGCGGTGAAGCGCGATTTGCGTGGTCCTGCTGCATGTGTTGATGTTGCTGTGACTGTTGCTGTTGCGATTGCAGTTGCTGCTGCATGTGCGGCTGTACATGGTCTTGCTGTAAAAGTGCTTGATGCTGATGTTGGCTTTGTAAAAAAGGGTGAGTTGAGTTGTAATTAATGGCGGAGCGGTCAGGCGAGCCGCATCCCATGTGCGGGTTTAACTTGCAGGCGAGAGCAGCTTGCTGCGGGAGAGCCTCGGACGGAGAGGACGAGACGGCGGAAAACGCGGAGGGGGAATTGAAGAAGTTGAACGAAGAGGATGAAGATGTGTTTAGCGGTTCGTGCTTAGAGGAATGTTCGGTGTCGGGCTTTACAATCGAGCCTGGAATTGAGGTGGATATCGTGATGGGGATGGAGGAGGTGTTATGAGTGGTCTGCAGCAGCTGGAGAGTTGGTGAGGGAGCCATGCGCATAATACGGTTCTAGATTCGCGAAGTTGTCTTGCAATGAAACCTTCGACGTTAGTGCCTAAGCAGTCACGCAAGAAAAGAGCTTCGGAAAAGAATGAGACGAGATTTTCTGACAATCCAAATTGTAGCAATAAATGTGGAATATGGCAGAAAGCACTCCCTAGGGGTTTCTTGTTTCCCGTTAACTAGGTGCTCAGAAAGTACTCCCTAGGGTTTCCGGAAGACCTGGGAACCAAACCTAGGCAAGTTTGCAGGGGACGGACGAGTCTCCAAGGCTGTGAACCAACCAAACAGAACGTCCGCCACTGGCTGATAAAGCAGCAGCTTACAGCCTGCAGGAGGCGAAACCGCAAGTGAAAAGGATTTGAAAGCTGTTTCCAGTGACGTGGTTCCTACGGTGTTCCCGAGAACCACATTCACACTCATGTGCCAAGGACCTGTAAGAAGCAGCCTATCTCATCTATCTGAATTGTCTGGAATTTCCTCAATTACGTTTACATGTCTGTACATGTTCGCTGAACCTGGGCGTAATTCTCGAGAACAACGAACGGGTCGACTGTTGCGCTGCCTAGCTGTTGGTTGCGGGGTGTTGCGGCATTGGCTGAGACGCGGAGCGGGAGGCACTGATTGGGTAGGAGGGAGAGGTTGAGGCGAGGGGGAGGGAGCGGTGAAGGAGGAGAGGAGGAGAAGGAAGGCGGAGCACTGCGGTGGTTTCGCGCGAAAGCACATCATAGGGGAAGCGGCAGTCGAGGCGAAGCCGTCGCGTCCAACGAGGCTGGGTCAGGTGGAACGCCACTGGCTGAGATTGCCACCGTGGCGGGAAGGAAATCCAGTTTCTGGGGAAGAGATGCTTGGTCGGAAGAGTCGGGCGGGAGTCGGGGATGCGTACAAGAACTTCGTTGGGGAGGGGAAGCGGACAGGTCACCGTAAGCGGAGAAGGTCGCGGGAATTGCTCAAAGGACGGGAAACTGGCGGGACGCGGAGCGAATGAGGGGCAGGGAAGGGGAAGGGGTATGTCGCATTTGTTCGCAGGGTCACTCTTCGACGACATTCTGCGGAGTGACTGAAGGCGACGAGACGACTCTCCCGATGGGGAAAGGGACTGCAGGCAGTTTGACCTCTGGGCGGAGGGAAGGGGTGACGGTATGGGCTTGGCATCGCATGTTTTGGGGTGTGCATGGCAGCTTTTGGAAATCCACATCAGATCGGACCCGATCCGACCTGATGCTGATGATGGCATTCCGCTGATCTGACGGGCAAGAGCAACATGCGCACGTGCCTCTCCCATCATCAATTCGTTGGCCAACCGCAAAGAGGTGGTGGGCTGGAACGAATTTCTCGAGCATCATAACGCGACACCACTGTACCATCGACAAGTCACCACATTTCCACACCCTTGCCTTCTGCATTCGATGCACTTGGTCGGAATCGGGAAGGAAATATATACGTACACTCCAGCCCATGCCCAACCTCTACAAAGATGTGTACAATATCATTTAGCCACAGCTGCGATAACAGTTCATTCGCACTTTTCACAGACGCAAGATGCCCCTGCTTCTGCGAAGGTGGGGGTGGATGGGGGGGGGGGGAAGGGGGGACATGGGTCCCTTGCTGCCTTATCTATGATCACAGGTCAGGTTGGCATGGAAAACTTTTATCTTGCACAGCATAAGGGCTTGGTGAGCATGCTTAGCGTTTGTGCAGAGACAAATAATCTCCAATGAGCCCATTGACACACAGAGCCTAGATTTAACAAAGCTCGACTTAGCAGAGGAGCCTCAACCCGCCGCCAAAGAGCAGTGAGTATGGGCAAAACACAGTTCTGAAGTCGAAGCAGAGTTGCCTTGTGATAACAAACAAGCACCTTGGCGCCAAGTGGGACCAGCTCACACTTGAACTTCCTGCGCATGCGACCGATTCTGTGTACTCATCGCCTAGCTGCCAGAGACAGAATTTCACATTCACAGGCAACTGTACACCGACAAGCATGTAACTTCATCTCATGATGCAATTGCATTAGACCTGGGACGACCCATCACCGTTGGTGGGTACATCAAGCGACGAGTCAACATTGTCATCCAAAACAGCTCTCCTAGAAACATCGGATTTAACCAGATCGCGAGGGAGATGACCTGTTGATAACAAACCAAATCAGGAAAAATGGCATCAAGTTACGCCCCGAAACGTCAACAGCGGCAGCAGACATGGGGGAAACACTCGTGCATGAAACTGAAAAGACACTCTTCAGGCAGACTGTAGCCAAATGGCCACCACAGGGCTTGTCGAGTGAGGAGAGAGAAAATTTACAGAGAAGCAGGAGGGAGGAGAATTGGAAGGACGTAAAAAAGCATTGACGGGAGCATGGGGTGACAACAACGTGACATACAGTAGCCATGGTGCAGAGAGGGGTAGTGGATGAATTAGCACACAGCAGCAAAGAAGATTGGTTTTGAGACGTCTAAAAATGAACCTATGTATCTCACGAGGTGTGGTGACAATGTAACGTACAGTAGTCATGGCGCAGAGATGGGTAATGTATGAAGTAGCAGATAGCAGCAAACGAGATGCCTGCATGGCGAAAAGTGCCAAGGAAGGAGACAGGTAAGGAGAGGAAGAAAGAGACTGCGCTGAGAAATGGGGAGGACACGCAAGGCAGGAAATGCTACAGGGTGAAAGGGGGAATGCCAGTTGTCATCGATTCGTGTGATTCCGACCGACGACCACCACACCTACCAGCAGCAGCGCAGGGGGCAGCAGATCAGCTTTGAGAAGTCACAAAAAGAAAGAGAAGGAAACGCATGTCCAGCCAGCCACGCACCAATGAGGCTGCCCACAAACACGTCAAATGGGAAGTGCCAGTAGTCATCAATGCGAGTGATTCCGACGGCCACTCCTCCCACCAGCGGCAGCGCAGGGGGCAGCAGTCGCCAGAGGTGAGCGGCAGAGGAGGAGAGGGAGTGGAGCTTGGCTGCTAGGAAGAAGGAGAGATACGCCAGGCCTGAAAAGGACACTGCATGTGCAAGGGGGGGGGGGGGGGGAGAGGGGTGAGGGGGGGGGGGGGACAAGACAAGGAGGAATTTGTGTGATTTTGATTCAAATTTTCAAAAAACAGCACAGGAAGGAGGTATTAAAAAGGAAAATTTGGGTCAGGACTTGTGGGTCACAATGGAAAGGAATGAAAAAGCAAACAGATAAGGAGACAAGAAACACACACACACACACACACACACACACACACACACACACGCACGCATGCACGCACGCACGCGCGTGCGCACACACACACACACACACACACACACAAACACACCTGATGCATGTCCGCTCGGGAAGCTCTTTCTTCCTTCGCTCACAACGGATGGATTGCCGTTACACAACACATTGCCACTGCTGCTGTAAACCTGAAGCAAGGAGGGAGGGGTGCGGAGGAAAGAGTAAGAAACATATCCCATTGCATGGTCCTTCGCTCACAATGGATGGATTGTGTAATACAGCGCGCATTGCCATTGCTGATGTCCACCTGAAGGGAAAGGGGGAAGGGGGAGGGCGAGATTCGCATGATCCTCCAGCGTTTGACAGCACAGGGTTCCCTAGTTGGCACAGAACCAGTTGTGTTGCTGGTGGCAAGTGTTCCCTAATCCTGAGTCGACTCAAAAGTCTTTATTTTTGAGTTGACCAAAGAAAAAAAAAAAACGTTCTGTTCCTACACTGTTCAACAGCACAGGTTTCCCTATTACAGATTACTTGACACAACCGATTTGTGATGCCAGCAGCTAGAGTTCTCTATTTCTTTGTAAGAGTTACTCTGGACCAAGACAAGGAATATGCCAGACTCACAAGGAGAAGAATCGGATGAACAAGAGGAGGCGGGGGAGGCTTTTGAGAAGTGAGGGGAGACGGACAGGAAGGAGAGGAATGGGAGGAAGGGAACCGCTTGACTCACAGGGACTCCCGAGGGGAAGCATCTGATGAAGAAATCGGGTCGGGGTCGGCCAACCGACACCTTGAGAGCATCGGTGATGAGAATGGTGGAGAAGAAGGCAAAGAGCAGGCCTGGAGGCCAAAGGGGGAGGAAAGATTGCGAGGAAAGGATTTGAGAGGGGGGAAGCACTTGAGGGGTGGAATGGGTGGGGAAGGAGACGAGGTGGGGAGGAGTCGAGGGAGGGTGGGCAATATGCAACCATGGATGTCAACAATGCTCTGATGGATGTCAACAATGCTCTGATGGATGTCAACAATGCTCTGATGGATGTCAACAATGCTCTGATGGATGTCAACAATGCTCTGATGGATGTCAACAATGCTCTGATGGATGTCAACAATGCTCTGATGGATGTCAACAATGCTCTGATGGATGTCAACAATGCTCTGATGGATGTCAACAATGCTCTGATGGATGTCAACAATGCTCTGATGGATGTCAACAATGCTCTGATGGATGTCAACAATGCTCTGATGGATGTCAACAATGCTCTGATGGATGTCAACAATGCTCTGATGGATGTCAACAATGCTCTGATGGATGTCAACAATGCTCTGATGGATGTCAACAATGCTCTGATGGATGTCAACAATGCTCTGATGGATGTCAACAATGCTCTGATGGATGTCAACAATGCTCTGATGGATGTCAACAATGCTCTGATGGATGTCAACAATGCTCTGATGGATGTCAACAATGCTCTGATGGATGTCAACAATGCTCTGATGGATGTCAACAATGCTCTGATGGATGTCAACAATGCTCTGATGGATGTCAACAATGCTCTGATGGATGTCAACAATGCTCACCTAGCATGGAGTTATGAATGTCAACAAGGTCCCTGCGGATGGAGCAGTGGAGGAGCAAGGCGATGGTGTCAGGACCCAGAGCAAGCAATCACCTGTGTGATATAGGGTTACAGGGAGGTGTGTGCAGCGCACACTCACCTAGCATGGAGTGGTGAATGTCAACAAGGTCCCTGCGGATGGAGTAGCGAACGAGGAAAGCGATGGTAGCAGGACCCAGAGCAATCACCTGGTGAATACAGAGTTACAGGGTTACAGGGTTACAGGGTTACAGGGAGGTGTGCATGAACGCAGCACACAGCTACTCCAATCGCCTTCCGCCTGGTGGGTATAGGGTTACAGGGAGTTGTGTGAGTCCATAGCAGACACCAGATTCAGGCAACTTTTGAGTAGACTCAAAAGTCGACATATCTGGTGGATAAAGGGTTACAGAAAGGTGTGTTTGCAGAGAACTGCACAGCCGAGTATAACGTTCTGCTCATACTCGAAGCGCCTGCCCTCCTTGTAAAGGGGGGCCTGGTTTCCCCCTGGGATCTCCTTAAAGCCCAAAAGAAGAAGAAGAAGAAGAAGAAGAGGAGGAGGAGGAGGAGGAGGAGGAGGAGGAGGAGGAGGAGGAGGAGGAGGAGGAGGAGGAGGAGGAGGAGGAGGAGGGAGAGGAGGAGGAGGAGGAGGAGGAGGGAGGAGAGGAGGAGAAGAGAAGAAGGAAGAAGAAGAAGAAGAAGAAGAAGAAGAAGAAGAAGAAGAAGAAGAAGAAGAAGAAGAAGAAAAAAGGTTGTGTGAGTTTATAGCAGACAACGAATCCAAGCGGACACACGATGGGAGTAACGTGCTGCTGCACAGCACACATAGCTCCCTTCGAATTCGAGAATGAACCGTGTGACGTTGTAACTCGGGGCCTTTTGAGGCGCCTCAAAAGTCATTGTAACACGGGGCCTTTCTTGAATTGACCTGCTGCATACAAGTTTTCAGGCGCCTCAGCACTCTGCTGCTTTCTGCTTGGAGCACGAGCCTTGCGACTCAAGACTGGGTACTCGCACACCACCGACGGCTGTAGGGAACAGAAACAGAAACAACTTCATGTACGTTGTCTTACCGCGACAGCCCATGACGGGACGGTGTTGTCCAGTAACGGGTACATCAGCCCTTCCATGTCCTCGGAATCGACGAATCGCTGAAACGGCTCGATGAAATGGAGAGCGATCGCTCCAGCAGCTATAAGCAGCAGAGCAGCCCAGTCGACAACATATTTAAGAAAAATGGTTGTAAGGGACCCGCGCCGCCTTGTCGTCTGACCGTTGGTCGTCACGTCAGGCATATTGTGTCAATCTTGCGTCTGGTCTGACCGCGCGCGTCCGTGTACACCGCGACCAGTGACTTCAAAATTGTATCCGTTGTCTTATGATGGAGTTCGTCCAACCGCAGTCAGGCGAGTATTCGGAAGCGGGACGGAGACAGATGCGACGCTGACTACATGCGAACGCAATATGAGGCGAGGGAGGACCCTACACGGCTCTCAAAACTCAATGCACGCCGTTGTTGCCCAGGCCACTCTCATAATGGCCATCCTTCACGGAGGCGTCAGGACAAAGGTGGAATATGGAATGGATGAAGAGCCATGAATTCTCTTATGTGAAAGGAGCCATGGAAAGTGGCCAAACTTGAACGAGCAGCTACAAACAGTGAAACAAAGTTGGGCCTGCAAAAAAAAAACTCGGGGTTACGACAAAGCTACCAATGCTTGCGAGAGCTCTGCGACTGACCACGAACTTTGTCGCCTTCAGTTACCCACGTTGTTGATTCGCTGGGTTCTGGTTCTTGCGAACTCGCGACATCGTAGAGGCATGCTCGATACAACGCCGTGTGATTCTGGCTTTGCTCAGCTTACATAAGAAGCTTGCCAGTCCGTGCTGCATGCGTCACATTCCTACACAAGCAGCTCAGAATTTTCATGCAGAACACTACCGTAACATGAAAATAAAGGTTTACAAGGAACGAATATTGTGCAATTAACACCTGAACTCGATAGAATGTCGCATACGTCCAGACTTTTCAGCTTCTTTTCTCTATTACACGCCACTGGGTTCAGTGGGCTCTCCACTAGGTTCAGTAAGCTCTAGTTCCGTGGCGAGAGCTTTTCTTCCACCACAACAAGAGATTTGGCACGATTGCGCATCTGGGCCGAGTGACAGAAGCGGAATATCACCTGAAGACGCAACCAAGTGTAGAGCGAGAGGAAACAGTGTCACTTATGTTTATTGTTCCCTTCATCAAAGGGTTCTACTGAGGGAAATGGAACACGACAGCAAGTTGTGCGATCCAACTTTGAAGCCACACACCAATAGCGGAAGCCATGTCAATCATGAAAGTACAAGACGTACAGTTCTGGTTGGACAGTGTGGGGTAGTGCAGGAAGTAGCAGATGGTTGCAACCACCATGCCTGCACAGGCAAGGGTCAGAATCAGACGTTTGGAAAGCTTGAATGCAACACAAGTGGGCAGGAAGCAAGGAAGCAGGAAGGCAAGGCAGGGAGCAGTAGAAAATGGCCACGGAGGTGCAAACAGTGTCAGCACCTGCCTGGACGGCAAAAAGTGTCTCAAAGTATGGGGATGTGTTAGATCCATAAGCCCTCCACTGTCCTCGTGAAATCCCCAACCCCCTCATGCCCGGATGCTCCTACCTATCAAACCCCCAATGAACACGTCGAAGGGGAAGTGCCAGTAGTCGTCGATTCGAGTGATGCCCACAGAAGCAGCGCCCGCCAGGCAGCAAGCGGACGGCACCAACCGCCACAGCTGCCCCCTCCCCCCTGCGCTGAATGCCTGCAGCTTGGCTGCCAGGAAGAGAGCGGCATAGGTCAAACCCGAGAAAGACACTGGGCAAGGAGGGGGATGGGAAGGGGGGAGTGGGACATGACATCAGCCACCAACCTCCACAGCTGCCCCCTCCCCCCTGCGCTTTACGCCTGCAGCTTGGCTGCCAGGAAGAGAGCGGCATAGGTCAAACCTGAGAAAGACACTGGGCAAGGAGGGGGATGGGAAGGGGGGAGTGGGACATGACATCAGCCACCAACCTCCACAGCTGCCCCCTCCCCCCTGCGCTGAACGCCTGCAGCTTGGCTGCCAGGAAGAGAGCGGCATAGGTCAAACCTGAGAAAGAATCTGGGGCAGGGGAAACGGGAAAGGGGGAGTGGGGAAAGGGGCAGGGTAAGAGGAAGATGTTTACGAGAGGGACACGAAATCAGGCACTATTCACCACAGCTGCACTGAACGCCTGGATCTTGGCTGCCAGGAAGAGCACAGCGTAGGTCGAACTTGCTAGGGACACTGCAGCAGAGCAAGGGGAAGGGAAAGGGACAGGGGGCAGGCAGGGGAAGGGAGAAGCAGGCCAGAGGTTCGATGTTTGAAGGAGGGACGGAGCAGAGCCGTCCTGTAACCTGTTCCCCGAACCGAAGGACCGGCTGGTATATTGCAAGGATGGCAACAGCCTTGTGAGTCTGTGAGTCCGTGAGCCTGCATGCCTGTGTGTCTCTGAGCGTGTGAGCGTGTGAGGCTGTGGGCCTCAATGTGCGTAAGCATGAACCGGTATGGGATAGGAGAGGGGCGGCAAGGGGGTTGCACGAGATGGGAATGTAGAGAGGATAGTTGTGGGAAGAGGAGGGGAGGAGGGAGAGCGGAGAATGAGCGAGCCGAGAGGGAGAGAGGGGGGAGAGGAGGGGAGGGGAGAGAGGAGGGGAGCGGAGCGGAGAAAGGAGGGGAGCGGAGCGGAGGGAGGAGGGGAGGGGAGGGGAGGGGAGAGAGGAGGGGAGGTGAGGGGAGAGAGGAGGGGAAGGGAGGAGAGAGAGGAGGGAATGGAGGAGAGAGAGAGGGGAGGGGAGTGGAGAGAGGAGGGGAGGGGAGTGGAGAGAGGAGGGAAGGGAGGGGAGAGAGGAGAGGAGGGGAGGGGGAGAGAGGAAAGGAAGGGAAGGGAGGAGGAGAGGAGAGGGGGGCAAGGGGATGGTCTCACTGGAGGTGTGGCCGCTGGGGAAGCTGACTCTCGACTCCATGACACTGGAGGACGACCCGTTGCACTGTGCGTTGCCGTCGCTGCCGTACACCTGGCAGGCAGTGCAGTGGCATGTGGAGCGCAGTGGAGATAATAGAGTTGCCTTGTAAGTGCTACAGACGATGAAGAAGGGCGGGTTGTCTTGTGAGTTGACTGAGATGTCAGAAGCAATCTTGACTTGTGCACTTGCTAAAGAGCCAGACTCACAGGAACGCCCGAGGGGAAGCAGACGATGAAGAAGTGTGGCCGGGGCCGGCCAATGGACACCTTGAGCGCGTTGGTGAGCAGGAAGGTGGTCGCACAGTTGAAGACGTAACCTGAAGGAGGAGGGAATGGGGGCGAGGGAATGGGTTGAGGGGATGGGAGTGGGGAAGGGGGGTTAACGGACTTGTGAGTCGACTCAAAAGTCACCAGGAGGAGGGAATGGGGGCGAGGGAATGGGTTGAGGGGAAGGGAGTGGGGGAGGGGGGTTAACGGACTTGGATCAAGCGCTTAGAGGCGGCTGACGGGGACTTTGAGAGTGTAGGGTGAGCAGGAAGAGATGGGGGCGAATCAGATGCTGTCGCGTGGAGCGCGTTGGTGAGGAGGAAGGTGAAGAGGAGACCTGAGGCGGAGGCAGAGGGGGGGGAAAGGGAATGGGGTTCAGGGAGGAAAAGGAACTGGTGCGAGATGCTGAAGGGTGTTTTTGAGAATTCTCAAAAACACCCTTCAGCATAAAGGGAATGGGGTTCTGGGAGGAAAAGGAACTGGTGCAAGGTGACGGGGCAAGGGATAAGGGGAATGGGAATTGAAGGCTGGAAAAGCAAGAAGGAAGAGGGGGTGTAGAAGCAGAACGGCGTGAGGAAGGCGAGGCCTGGGAGAAGGCGAGGCCTGGGAGAAGGGATGCGAGTTGAGGGTAAGGGAAGGAGCTGCTGACGAAATGTGCGGGTAAGTATGAAAGGCACAAGCCCTTGTGTCCCGTGAGCGGGTTGGGAGGGAGAGAATGAGCCACGACATGGGGTGCTTGGAGATTATATATCAGTATTGACAGATCACAACTCCGAGGAGCGAAACGATCACAAGTGAAGTGATCGAGGAGCGAATAAAAAATCACAACTAACAGAGGAGCGAAAAAAGCCCAACTGACCTGGCTGATCACATCTGACCTGGCTGATCACATCTGACCTGGCTGATCACATCTGACCTGGCTGATCACATCTGACCTGGCTGATCACATCTGACCTGGCTGATCACATCTGACCTGGCTGATCACATCTGACCTGGCTGATCACATCTGACCTGGCTGATCACATCTGACCTGGCTGATCACATCTGACCTGGCTGATCACATCTGACCTGGCTGATCACATCTGACCTGGCTGATCACATCTGACCTGGCTGATCACATCTGACCTGGCTGATCACATCTGACCTGGCTGATCACATCTGACCTGGCTGATCACATCTGACCTGTGACCTGGCTGATCACATCTGACCTGTGACCTGGCTGATCACATCTGACCTGTGACCTGGCTGATCACATCTGACCTGTGACCTGGCTGATCACATCTGACCTGTGACCTGGCTGATCACATCTGACCTGTGACCTGGCTGATCACATCTGACCTGTGACCTGGCTGATCACATCTGACCTGTGACCTGGCTGATCACATCTGACCTGTGACCTGGCTGATCACAACTGACCTGTGACCTGGCTGATCACAACTGACCTGTGACCTGGCTGATCACAACTGACCTAGCAGCGAG